TTTCAAGTCGTCGTTTTAACGAATTTTCGCCGACGCCATTTTCTATTTAGCGGCATTTTGATAAAGCCGTCAGAGTGATTTTCAGCAATTCTCGTCGACCAATTTCCAGAAGTGCCGCGCTGCACACCGACAATGGCTTACTCAACCACTTCACTCGCCAACCGGATCCCGCTCCTTCGTCTCGAGCCGGACGGCACATGCTCCAACTACAAGGCTTGGCGCTATGGTGTCAACAAGCACCTCCTCAGTCGCGAGGTGAAGGGGCTCGAGCTCACCGACGTCCTTCTCAACATCGGTGACGGCAAAGAGCCTCCTAAACCCGAGAGGTCCGCCGATCCAGCTAATGCCGCCGCCGAAGCAGTTTATGCTGCTGCACTGCTCAAGTACAAGAATTGGGAGAAGGCCGATGGTGCGGTCATTAGTGTCTTCATGGGCACCACTCCTGCCGAACTCGTCAAAACCTACCACAACTACCCGTCTGCCAACGCCATTTGGCTCTACCTCGAAGATCGCTTCCTGAACAAGACTGCAGTGGGAGTTGCTATACTCATCCCCAGCATGTTCCAAGTGCGGCTCGAGGACTCGCCAGGCATGGCAGACTATGTCACAAAGGTGCAGTCCATTCATGGTGAACTCAAACAGTTGGGGATAGTCTTCCCCGAGCAAGCCCCTGCAGCCGCTATCCTAGTCGGCCTCACTCCGGCATACGAAGTCACACGCAAGATGCTCTTGGGCCTTGCTCCTGCAGACCTCACATTTGCCAAGGTCTCATCCGCGCTCCTTTCTGCCGAAAAGGACAACAGCGCTCAAGCCAAGACCAATGCAATCCGCGCTCCCGTGCCTCAAGCCTATGCCGCTTCGGTGCCATTCCAGCGCAACCGCTTCCCCCCGTGTCCCTACGTCATCAAGCGCGGCCCTCGTGCTGGCCAGGTGTGTGGCGGCACCAACCACGGCCTTGCCTCCTACTTTAAGAAGAAGGATGACGAGTGGTATGCCGTCAATGGGACCGCCTCCAAGCCGCCAAGCTGGATGGTCAATCGTGCTCCTCGCAAGGTCAATCAAGTCGAAGCGCAGGAATGCGTGCAGGCTGCTGTAGCTCCCACTGCTGATGTGCGCCTCAACATGTTGTTCCTTGGCACTGCCATGATTAATGAGACGATTTCGCAGTGTCCCGGCTCACAAAGCACCTCAGCCACAATAGAGTTCACCCTCGACAGTGGGGCCACTCAAACGGTTCTCAAGGAAGAACACTCCTTCAAGCCATACGAGACACCAATCCGTCTACTAGGAGCAGACTCCAGTTTTACAACACACGCCAAGGGCTCCTCCACAGTTCCATGCCCAGCTTTTCCTTCGGGCAGTGTCACCGGCATGTGTGTTCCCACACTACGCCACAATCTCGTGGCCCAACACGAGCTCCAACGGGCAGGCGTCACCACGATCTTCCCAGCACACTCGGATCACTGTGACCTCTTCGACCCTAAGTCCAACAAGCTCCTAGCACGCTTCACATTCAACAGTAGCAAGCTCTACACGCTGCGTTCACCTGCACCTCTCGCCGCCCTCTCCCAAACGCAAGCTGCCAGCACCACTCCGTGTTCGTGTCGCAGCTTCGCCAACCCAACCATCCTCTACCACCATCGCTTGGGTCACCCCAACTTCCGTACACTTGCCGACATCGCTTCCAAGAAACTTCTTCTTGGCCTCCCTTCGGCGCTTCCTCCACCAACAGACTCACATGCACCCACCTGCCTGGACTGCACCAAGAGCAAGCTCAGGCAGCAGCCGCATCCTTTCTCCCCATCCGTCGCAGCTGCTCCGCTGGACCTAGTGCACATGGATGTCTGGGGCCCAGCTCCAGTCGCATCCCGAGGCGGTCATCGGTACTTTCTTACACTAGTCGATGACCACTCGCGGTATGTTTCTGTGCACCTCCTGCATACCAAGGCGGAGGCACCTGATGTCATCATGGCGTGGGTGCGCCAGGCTCAAGTAACGTTCGGCACTCCTCTGAAGTGCCTCCATTCTGATGGCGGGGGAGAATTTCGCAATGGCAAACTCGATAACTTCTGTGCGGCCCAAGGGATTCGGAAAACCTTTACGCTCCCCGAAAGCCGGCAGCAGAATGGCATTGCAGAGAGCCGCAACCACACCTTGGTTCAGATCGCTCGCTGCCTCCTCAGTCACGCCAACGCACCACGGTCACTCTGGGGATATGCCCTCTTCCATGCGGCACTCCTCTACAATCTTTATCCGCATCCCCACCGGCCCGACACCACACCTACCGCTCTTTGGCTTGGGGTCACGCCTTCCGCCCGCTCTCTACGCGTCTGGGGGTGTACCGCGTATGTGTTGCTAAGCCCCCACACGCGCAGGAAGCAAGGTGGCAAGCTTGGTCCCAAAACCCAGACCTGCATGTACCTGGGGCACAACTCCGACTCCCCAGACTACTTATTCCTCAACCCAATCACCAGACAGCTGATTCGCAGCCGTGATGTCGTCTTCGATGAGACACGCCCATTCCACTCTGCGACCACGGGCGAGCCTCCTCCACCTCCCCCGACGCTTGTTTGGGCAGACTTCGATGCCCCACCTCCGGGGCCTTCTCCGTCCGGCGTGTCTCACCCGGCCTCCCCAGTATCCTCCGCAGCGGCACCTCCTCCTGCTCCGCCTTCCCCGCGCGTCGAGCCCGGCTCACCAGTCTCCTATCGGAGGCGCCCAGTCCCTCCGGTCCCACCGCAGCCGCCTTCGTCTCCGGTCTCTAGTCGCACTCGTTCCAAGGGACCGGCTCCGCCTCTCGCCTGGGGACCAGCCGCCTTCTCCATCCGGTGTTCGGTCACCCCGCCTCCTCCTGCCGGGGGCGATGTCCCCTCCATCCGTATTCCCCCCCGTGCACTTCTGGAGGACAGGCATGAGGAGCTGTTTGACCTTCACGCGGTCTGCCAATTTCTCTCTCACATGTTCCCGGACATTACTGACTGCCCTTCCCTCAACTTCACCGAGAACCCGACCATTCCGACTCCTCGCACAAAAGAGGAAGCTCTCTCGGGGCCTTATAAGAAGGAGTGGAAGGCAGCAATGGATGTGGAGAACGAGGCGTTCATTCGCAACAACAGCTTTGACGATGTTGTTCCCCCTTCCGGTGTCAACATCGTCGGCGGAAAATGGATCTTCCGAGTCAAACAACTCCCAGGCGAAGCTCCACTGTTCAAGGCACGATACGTGGTGAAGGGTTTCACCCAGAAGAAGTATCTCGACTTCTTCGAAACATTCTCGCCCACGGCCAAGCTCCCGACTGTGCGCGCTCTTCTTGATATAGCCGCTCGCGGCAACTTCGAGATCAAGTCCATGGACGCCTCCTCCGCCTTTCTCCAAGGCCAGCTCAAAGAGGATGTTCACATGGAACGCCCACCGGGGTTTCCTGGCACTTACCCTGCCAACACAGTGTGGAAGCTGAAGCGCCCAGTGTATGGCCTCAAGCAGGCTCCTCGTGAGTGGCACAACAAGGTGAAGGAAGTCCTCCTCGCACTTGACTTCCATCCCTCTGCCTCAGATTCCAGTCTCTTCGTTCGTCACTCCTCCAAGCCCTTCTACATCCTCGTCTACGTCGACGACTTCATTCTAGCCGCCAGAGATCCAGCCGACATGGCAGCTGTCCAGTCTGCTCTCAGCTCCGCCCTTCTCATGAAGGATCTTGGTGACCTCAAGAACTACCTGGGGATGGAGATCACTCGTGACCGCCAGGCTTGCACGATCACCCTCTCCCAGGAGTCCTACATCGACAACCTTCTCAAGCGGTTCGACATGGACTCCAGTAACTCTGTCTCCACTCCACTCCCACTACAGCATCAGCTCACGGCCCCTCCAGTTCCTTCTCCTGACGCCTGCAAGGACCCGTACCCTGAGCTAGTCGGTTCACTCATGTATGCCATGATGTGCACTCGACCAGACTTGGCTTACCCGGTTAGTGTCCTCTCTCGGTACGTCTCCCCCGGACGCTACACTGCCTCGCATTGGTCTGCAACCAAGAGGGTCCTCCGCTATCTACAAGCCACCAAGTCTCACATCCTCACTCTTGGTGGTACCTCTCCAGTCAAGCTCGAGGGATACACAGACTCCTCATGGGCCGATGACCAGACTGACAGACGCTCCTCCCAAGGGTACTGCTTCACCCTTGGTAGCGGAGTCATCAGCTGGCGCTCCACTTGGTCCTCTGCAGTCTCCCTGTCGTCCTGCGAGGTCGAGCTCTACGCGGACACAATGGCTGCTCAAGAGGCACGCTGGCTCTCCTTTCTCCTCGCTGAGTTAGGCTACCCCCAGCAGTCGCCCTCCCCGTGGTGTGACAACCAGAGTGCCATTCACCTCACCAAGGATCCTGTGTTCCACTCTCGCACCAAGCACATCGAACTTCGTCATTTCTTCATCCGAGATCTTGTTCAGAGTGACCAGCTGACGGTACGGTACATCGCCTCAGATTGCAACCTCGTCGACCTCTTTACCAAGGCTCTCGGGAAGGCTGACCACCATCGCCTTCTCCGTTCCATGGGGCTATGTGCTCCTTGACCGGGTTTGCAGTCTATGGAGGTGTGTTAGAAATAGACTGCAAATACCACTTTTGTATTTGTACTTTTATATCCTAGTTTAGGTTATGAATGTTCTAGTGGGTTGGGGTGTACTCACAAATCCCAACCTCACCCAATTGTGATCCCCACAATCTCTAATTACCCAATTGGAGATTCCGGAGATCCCAATGGGGATTCCCTCCAATTCCCCCTTCATCCATTCACTCTCACCTTGCCATGTACTTATAGAGCCTTGGGCTCCTTACCTAATCAATCATTTCAACTCTATTTGTTACATGTGCATCGACGACCGAGCTCTCAACAAGCAAACCATAAAAAATAGATACCGGATTCCACGAATGGATGACCTACTTTGGAAAGCTACAGTATTGTTCATACTGGATTTCTGGCTTGGACACTAGCAGATGCGAATGGCAGACAATTCTATCCACAAAACTACATCAAAATTCGCTACGCATCGTACGAGTATCTGGTAATGCCGCTCGGACTTACCAACGCACCGGCAACCTTCCAAGCCAAAATGAACCACCTTTGACAACCAATACTGGACGGGTGCGTGGTGGTGTACCTGGGTGACATTCTGATCTTCTCGCGCACGTCGAACACATGGGATGCATCTTCGAAATTCTTTAACGAGAACGTTTCTACAAACACAACCAAACCACTCCGGCGCCATGCTTGGTGGATTGACTTTCTTGAGACACATTTTCTACAATCCGCGACACAAAAACAAAGAGTCTCTCAGCCGGCTAGCACAGTGTTGCTGATATCCAAGTTGAAGGGATGAATCCGCTCCTTAAGGGACTCTTCACATACGGGTACACCATCGACCCCAAGATTCTCTTAGTAGAGAAACGATATCTGTTTCAATAGAACAGTGATATTGCATATCGGAAATGAAAAAAAAAATAAAAAATTGGGTACCTAATTATCACTTTTTTCACGTAAAATAAAACTTGAAGAATATCACGATGCCCTATACTCCGGACGCTTTGGTAGCAACCAAAGCACCGACATCGTAAAACACTATTACTGGCCCGACATAGCAAACAACGTATAAAGCTCGTCACCTCGTGTGACTCATGTCAACGGATGAAGAGCAGTCAACAGAAGAAAGCCGGACAGTTACAGCCTCTTCCAGTCCTAGAACAACCTTGACAAGTGGTCAGCCTAGACTTTATCACTGGGTTACCACCCACCAATAGCGGTCATGACGCAATCCTTGTCGTAACATATATATATATATATATATATATATATATAGAGAGAGAGAGAGAGAGAGAGAGAGAGAGAGAGAGAGAGAGAGAGAGAGAGAGAGAGAGAGAGAGAGAGAGAGAGAGAGAGAGAGAGCAAGCACCGACGAGACAGCTCAACGGTTCATCCTCTATATCATCTCACAGCATGACATCCATCCACACTCATCACCGACCAAGATCCTAAGTTCACCAGCAAGCTCTGGATGGAACTGATGTCTCTACTCGGAACCCAACTTGGAATGTCATCGGCGTATCACCCATAGATAGACGACAAGACCGAACGCCTTAACCAAATTGTAGAGCAACTCCTCCGAGCAGCCTGCAAGGACGTCATCTCTAAATGGGACCTACACCTACCCATCATGGAGTTCGCATACAACAATGCCACAGATGTTGCTACACGACAAACACCAATTTCCTCTGTTACGGATGCAACCCGCTCACACCACAGAAACCAATAGTACCAGCTACAGCTCAGCGTGCACATGATTTTGCTACCACCATGAATCAGCTTTGGATCGAACTCATAAGCGCCTCCTAGGTATTCAATAACAATAGAAGCGTCATGCTGATCGCCACCGCAATGACCACACCGTCACGGTGGGACAACATGTTCTACTCAACACCCGCAACCTTTGAAAAGTGTGCAGGCATGGGTGATTACATCTCGGAGGTTTGCAACATTCATTAGGATTTGAAGAACATCGGAATCATACAACACCAGCATACAGTGCCACCAGCTCCATGCTCAAGCAGCTCCCCACCAAGAAGCCGACTTTTGATTATGTTGCAACAGCCCAACTCTCCGGATCTTGCAGCTCAGGCATCTGCTGATACCACTTACTACACCCCAGCAAAAATCTTCCACCCTCAGCAGGGATGCCACGCAACCGCTTCCACCCATGCCCATGTATCATCCAGATGGCTCTGTGCACAGGACAGAAATACGGAAGTATGAATCACTGTAAAGCAATTTGCTTAAAAAAAGAGGACGATGAATGGTATGCTGTTCATGGAACCTCCAAGGGTGCTCCTAATTGGACTCCACCCTGCAAGGTTAACCGGCTTGAGGTAGAGGAGCTGAATGCTCCCATCACTAGTTCACCTGATCTTTTCGATGTTTGCCTTAACCTCTTGCTCTCTAGTGTCTGCATAAGCAGTGAAGTGGATTCAGAGCACATGTGTGTTACACACACTATAGGGCTCGGATTCACCCTCGGTAGTGGTGCCACTCACACTGTTCTCAAAGAAGCTCCACCCTTGGTAATGGTACCAACTCAAGCTTGTCCATCACCTGTCACAGGTATGCTGTAACTCTATGTCCTACATTCCCTTCAGGTGCACCCTACATCACAACTTCCTAGCCCAACATGAAATTAAAAAATTTGGAGTAGCCACCATCTTCCCAGCTCATGCCAATCGCTATAAGCTCATTGACGCCCGTACCACCCTGACAACCTCTATACCCTCCATGTACCACCTTCTCAGCCCGCCGCTAATTCTTCCCTCACCAATCTTCCGCTCCCCACCACAACATCCCCTTCATGTCACTATCGCCTCCTTTCCGACACCACCATACTCTTCCATTGTCGCCTTGGCCACCTCAAATTTTGCACCCTATCTGACCTTGCTTCGAAGAAGCTTTTTCGTGACCTGCCTGCCTCCCTACCCTCACCTTCCAACCATTGAAACCCACCTTGAATTGCTACGCACAATGTAAGCTCCGTGAACAGTTTCATCTGCCCCCACCGGCAAGGTCCCCTCGATACAGCTAGCGTGCACGAATTCTACACCACTCGCATATCGACAAGCTATTCCGCGCACCATTCTAGCCTTAAGAGATTTCGCGAGAGCTGTCAAAAATTTCCCTGGGTGTTGGGGCCTTCATGCTTCTGTGTTCATCGTATAACTCCACTTGCCCCCTACTTGCCTACTCCCTGGCTCTGTCCTGAGCAGGCAATGAACTTCTTCTTATGCTGCTTCAGCCACTTTCCCTCCCACACCTTGCCCTGCACTTTGTGCTTTTGCCACCTTCGTCACATGATCGATCTTCCTCCACCGCCTGTTGTTCTCCAGCACTAGCACCGCTGAGTTATTGATTTCCTTTACTGTCCAATGCTCCGGCCCCAGCCCTACATCCAGCATGCCCGTCTTTTCTTTCCACGACCACATCGAGCGACCACCCAAAGCACTCCCCGCAGCTCATTCCTTCCTCGATCCAACACTGCCTGGTTCTGTTCACGAAGTTAACAGTTTTGCACCTAGTATTTTAGTTCCTTCCTCATCCTTGCTCACAATCATTTACATCAGTTGCATGGTTCTTGTTGGTTAGAGAAGGCTATAAGCAGATGATTCAATGGCTCCTTGGAAAATTCTGCAGCACTTCGTTATGATGCCCAGAAAACTCGCGACCTTCGAAAGGCTATATCCAAAACTCCAATCGGTGAAACGATCTGAAAATCGGATATATTGTAGCTTGCAGCGTCAGCTTTGTTAGAAACAGAAAAGGTTCAGTTTATTGATGAAGCAAAGGCATTACATAGGAAG